CTATAATTTCTTCCTCTATAAGTTGGAACATGTAGTTGGACCAAGCCCTAGAGAACACCTTATCCAGTCTCCTTATATTAATGATAAAGGGACTTTGCCTCAAAGGCTGTAGACTATTTACACAATACTTCTTTTTTCTTATTTGTTGTTTTTAAATATACATTAAAGTGGGGTGTATTTTGACATATTATACATACATGGGGTGCAACCTATTACAATTTTGATTTCACTCTTGTGGTTGAACATGATATGGAATTATACTGGTTATGTATTCATATATAAACATAGGAAAGTTATGTTTGATTCATTCTATTGTCTTTCCTGTTCCCATTTCCCCTCCCTCCCCTTCACTCTCCCCATATTTTTTACTGATAGAGTTAGAATGAAAAAAGTATCAGCTTTCCATGCACCATCTCTAACAGATTTGCTTCCATTCTTCAGAATGACTCTTCCAAGCATCTAAGCCCTTCAGTCTCCAATGTGCTTCTTTCTTTTCCTTTTTTTCCTCCATATTTATCAGAGAACATGTCCTGTCTAGGAACTCTGGATCCAGACAGCCTTTCTAGATTACCCTGCTAGTCCACTCCCAAAATACTGAAATCCAGTCATAACAAACTTTTCATTCTTCCCCAAACAGAGCCTGCCTTTTACCACCCATGATGTTTCCACAGATCCTTCTTTATTACAGTACCTTTCTTCCCAGACTGCAAAACCAGCAAAGGTGTCTCCAGTCCTTTGGAACCTTTACTGATTCTCTCTAGGAAAATTCATCAATTCTTCTCCTGTAATGCTACAACAGTCTATTCATCTTAGCACAGCCTGGTCCCCGCTTGACATATCTGTTGTGCTCACTGGACTATGAGGTTTCTTAAGGGTCAGGATTAGATCTTATTTCATTTGTTCATTGTAGTATCAGCACTTAGTACAGTAGGTGGAAGATTATAGGCATGCAGTAATTGTTTTATGAATAAATGTACCTGGATTCCTTAGCTTCTTATCCAGCTGAGCTCTGAATATTGGATATCACCCAGTTGTATCCAAAGGTATGAGTAGAGATAATATAACATGAGTCATGGTAATGATGGGTCTAAAAGTCCCAATTAATATAGTCTGTGGTGAAGGACAAAATAAAACCCTTGTGATTAGGGATTGCTATACAAGTAGCCAAAAAAAGTAAATGATACCTCAAGAATAAGATCAAAAAAAAAAAAAAGAATAAGATCCATGTTGATGGCACAGAAATAAAGAGAAGTTGGATTTGATTTGTGCATACCATATACACGTGTGGAAATATCACACCAAACCCATTCACATTTACAAGTAGCACATGTTAATAAAAGATAATTTTTTAAAAAAATCAGAACAAATACACATTGGTGTGCATGTGTGTGTGTGATACTTATGATTAAAATATGCACCATCCTATTAATTCTTGTATCACTAATCACTGCTCAGTAAGAGCTGTGTGAAGAGAAGTGTAAACAACTCAAGTGTAGATCAACCCTGTTTCCTGCTCTCCCCTTGAGCACCACCCCTGCCCTTACCAGGAGGTAATATTTACAGAAACAAGTTGCTTTTAATTCCTGTATAAGGTGTTCTTCCTTAACTTGGACTGCTGCCCCTGCAATTGTGGTGGTGTCTATCCTTATCAACATTTGTATTTCCTTAGCTTCTTATAGCAGCAGTTGCATGGAGCATGGGAGACCCATCTCTCAACCAAGGCAGGAAATCCTTCAACTCCTGTGATTTGTTCCACTTTGTATATTCACACTTGTTTGGTTCATTTTTCCCACCTGGCACTGAGAACTGGGATTTTCCAAGCCATACTGTTCTTTGGGTATTGGTCTCCTCAAGGCAGCATTATTTGCTCCCTGCCTCCCTCCCATCCCCACAAACAGGTCTTGGGCTTTATTAGTACTTCTAAATTCCATAATAAATCACAAGATTTGCCACATGCCAGATCTTCTAAAAAGCACACCTGGTGAATGGTTATAATGTCTGTGATCTCCCTGTCAAATCTCTATTGGTCTTTTGGACCATCTCAGATATATTTTTGAGTTAGACACATGTCTCAGTCTTATAACCCTGCCAATGCCATACCACAAGACCACAGTTAAATCTCTGCATACTTTTGCAATGCTTCCATTTTGCTAAATCTTCCATTGCGCTTTTTTTTTTTCCAAACAGTGGTGATAATATATTGATCCTATATAAGAAGAGCCATCTTTAATACAACAAAGATATTCTTTACCTTCAGATCCACAATGAATAAAGCAAAAAAAAGTATTTGTCAGTACATTTAATTCATTTACCTCTTCCATGATAATCCACATTTCTACAACGACCTCTGACTCCAAATCTAGATTATATAAAAAGATATATAAACACAGATATATGCTATTACTGCAGTAGTACCTGCACTCCTACTCTGAACTTAAAAAATAAATTGTGTAAACAAGAAATAAGGTTTGCATCTGTACAGTTATAAGCAACCACCAGAAAATAGAAACAAACATGTGTGATATGCTGAATTCTTAATAATTTAATACACAGATTAGTTTTCATACATGTAGATGAACATTGGTTCACAAGGAAACTCAGATGTTCATTGTAAATCTTGAGTGTAAAACAACAAATATATTGCTAAGGCTTGAAATCATGTGAGTGAATCGGAAAGGTTGCCAGTTTGTAATTATAGCTATGGAAATATAATAGTGTGACTATGTACTCAAGGGATTTAATCAGGGTGGTTGAAAAAATAACAAGTGCTTCTATTCATAATTTTGTCACATATACACATTTCCATGGCAAAAGGCCAGATGCATTTATTGCAATTCAGAAATGACAAAGAGAGCTGATGGCCCTTAATGAGCAATTGATTAGCAGTAAACAGAGAGATATTAAGATTCTAGTTGAAATGCCATTCAGAAAAGGAAGGCCATTTCCTTTAGTTGTGGCTCTTTACCCAACCTTATTAGTGAAGAAGGAGTAAGAAGGGAAAATTTACTTCTTGCATTTTATTATTTGATGATTATGAAGCCTAAATTATGAAGAAAAGCATAAACCTTCATACAAAAATTTACAGTCATGCAGAAATAACCTACAAGTATCTAGTAGCTCTCTTAAATGATGACCTGGGATTTGGTCCTAGAACTACTAAAATGATTGGGGAGGGTGAGGATTTTTTTTAAAAAAGTCGATTTTACTATATTATTATCTCAAAGACTGATTATTATGCAAAAGCATATTCCAATTTCAATTTTAAAAACTACTAATTTGTTCTCAGCAGCTGTAATTTGGGATCCCATGGGATGACATATGAGGATACACAGGAAACTTTGGAGGGTGTTGTGGGTTTGGTGCCTAGATTCACCAAAGCCACTTGGCTGAGATTGCCAATGTCTGCTGCTAAACTAATATAGTGGCCACAGTGTAATCCATCACAGCTGTGAACTCACAATGTACAGATACAATAATGACTTGAAAACACACTAAAGGGAATAAAATAGGATGTATTTTCACTTTGGTTGGATTTTTAGGCAGCCAAACTGGGAAGAATTTGAAGATTGTGTTGGCCTGGGTAGGTGGCACTGGTTACATGATAATAACAGCCATCTGTGTTGCTCATGGGTAGGGAGCATAGGAAAGGAGTGTGAAAGTCACATTGAGTCTGACCCTATGTCACCAATAAACTCAATTAACCAAAAATCTACTGAATTCCTAGTTATGGCAATTAGGGGAAAGCAAAAATGACCACCGCTATATTGAAATAGTACTTTTTACTCAACTTTGCATATTAATTAACATTTTAAAAAATACTTTCCTTGCAGTTATTAACATATGGCTCACTAGAAATACTATCTTGTTTGAGGGGATATAAATGTACACACTGTTCTTCGAATTTTATTGAAAATAATAGGTAATAATAGGCAATTTAATGTCTGGTAATTTTTTGAGTAACATTTAAAGAAAAAGCTTATCTTTACAAATCTTTTACACAAAAATTATGGCTGAGTCAGGTACAGTGACACGTTTGCTATAATCACAGTGGCTCAGGAGACTAAGGAGGATCACAAGTGCATAGCCAGCCTCAATAACTTAGAAAGACCCTAAACAATTAAGCAAGACCCTGACTTAAAATAAAAAAAATAATGAAAGAATTTAGCAAGACCCTGTCTTAAAATAAAAAATAAAAAGGGCTGGAAATGTAGCTCAGTGGTAAAGTGCCCTTGGGTTCAATCCCCAGATCTTCATATTTTTCAATATCTTCTTGAGGTTCCTTTCAGCCAAACTATTAGTGGAGTGTGATATCATTTCCCCTTTTGAATCTCTTAAAAGCTATGCAATGTCTCACACACACACAAAAAGAAAATCCACATACCTATATCCATCCCATACATGTAAATAATACACCTGCATTGTGCATATTTTCTGAGCACTGGTCAGGTTGAGAAACACTTAAATGCTGTAAGTGAGAGTGCATATATTTCTGAAGAAGAAACTCATGGAATTACAACTCAGTTTGGAATTTCCCTTTCAAGTTACTGAAAAATTTATCTTGTCGTGAATGTGTGGATGTAGTTTTCCCCTGTGACAGAAAGAAAATTATTAGGACAGTCTTCTGATAAATTTAGCATGTTTGGGGATCAGAATATTAGGGCTTTCCTATGCACAACCGTATGGAAAAGCCATTATTGACATATCATATGTACATTATGGCTTTTTCAACTACAGCTGTGATTGTAATGGACCAGGTACAATCCTAAGACATGTTTTTTTTTTAATGCACTTGAATGCCTTTATCCTTCTGTGCTTCTGGCCCCAAAGTAGCTCAGAAGAGTCTCTGCCTTGGGTTTGTCTTTGGAGCCTTTCCAAGAGCTGAGCAGGTGATACCATAAACATATCCCAGCCTTGCCATTTGGGGTGAGCAAGTGGCTGGACATGATGGCTCTCTCTGGATGTAAATTGATTGTAACGATTTCTTTCTTCCTCCTGGGCAGGATTTATGTGGGCATCATTCATGTGACACCCTGGGAATGGCAGACGTGGGGACCATATGTTCTCCGGAGCGCAGCTGCGCTGTGATTGAAGACGACGGCCTCCACGCAGCTTTCACCGTGGCTCACGAAATTGGTATGCAGTGCCTTTTCTCCTCCCTCGCCAAGTCAAACACTTGTAGCAGCTGCAACAGGAACCGAAATATTTGGCAATTAATTCCAGATTTCTTCTGGTTCAGATGTACCCGTTGGGGATTAAATTTGTTTATATTTGCACTTCTAGGGTTAACTAATATGTGAGAAGGAAGGCAAAGTCAGCAGCAACACGGTATATGTTTCCTTCTGACAGTGTCACTTCTATGTTAAAGAGAAACTTGCTACTGCTACTATCTTCTTCCTGTCCTTTTAAGCTTTGCTAAGTGACTCCTAGACGAAATTTGTCACAGTCGCCTATGGAATGTGGAGATGTCCCTTTTGGAAGTCCTTCAGCACAGAACTGACTCATCCAGGGCTAATCAGTTTGCACAGAGATTTAACATGTTTGGCTCTATTGTGAGTGAGAATAGCAGACTCCCATCAAAGGTACTCTGTAGCTTGTAAAAGATATTCCTGTGTCCTTCTTAATAGCATTGACAAGGGAAACCAAACTCAACAGGGTTTGCTTTAAGATGTCACTTGCCCAATTCGTTTGTTTTAAGAAACATCCAAACCCTACAACTCTAAATTTAGGACTCAGTTAACTGTTAAAATGTGTATGTGCCATAAGGAATATGTGCTTTCTAATCATTGACCTACACTACTATATGTTTGTGAAATTGGCTTAATACTTCCGACTAGGTGTTTGAATTAGACACTCTGGGGTCACTTCTTGCTAAAATACCTTCTACCTGGATCACATGGGTCCAATTATTTTAACTCTCTCAAAGCTTCAATTTTTATATGTGAAATAATATGAGATAATAATGTCCATTTCATGGAATTATTTCACGGGTATTTATATCCACATGTACTTCTCTTTTGCCTTTTAGTTAAAAGAATTCATTTATTTTCTTAATTTATGTATCACCTTTTGACATCGTTGTTTTGGTGGGACAAAATATGGTTTGATCATTATTGTAGCTTTAATTTTTTCTGTGTTGTTTTATAAACAGATTTAGTTTCTTTAAAGCTAAAACCATAAATTTTAAATGGAAATTAAAACTTCTATTTCACATTCTTGGCAGACAGAGAATATCTAGCTGTCATATTTCTTTGAGGAGTCAAAGCAACCTCTAAGTAAAAGTATAATCTCATAAGTCCCAATATTATAGCAATTAAGTAGAACTAAGTAGTTATGTTTCACCTCTTATGGAATAATCATGACAGTAATGTTCCTAGCACTCCTGACACTCTTATGATCTCAACTACAACAACAAAACACAAACATAAAGCTTTAATATAAATAACTGTACAACAACATCACGGATGAGAGTTCAGTCCACACTCCTTGAGCATCCAGCATCCTTGGCCTCAGGAGCCAGATCTGAATTGGAGTGCCAAGTGCTGCCTGAATGTTCTCCGTGTTCTGCAAGTGATTTGGGCATGTTGCACTGGAGGAGCTCATAGGCCTGATGGTGTTTTTAAAACACAAGCCAATTGATCTTCAGGGTAAGGGGCTTGTCTTCACTTGTCTCTCACTTATGCCTGTGAAACTAACTAATAACAACACATTCTGATAGAGACCATTAATCAGTATTTATTCCACTATCGATGTATGTACATGAGTAAGCAGGAGAATGTAGCAAGGGAGCTGCTCAAGGCAACACCCAGATTCTGTAATGGGAATGAAGAGGAATTCATTCCAGTCTTCCAAAGGATTGTAATTAAATGGAGGAGAATTTAAAAGTACACCATTGTTCATCACCATTATACAAAGTGAGAGAAGTCCCATATGAAAGCATCTAAATCCCTCAACAGCCTAGTGTGTCTCAGCAGGGTGGAGAAATGATAGGGAATGGGCAGCCACGTTGGGTTTTGGTGTTATCCACCCACAAGACCCAGAGCTCCAGATCCTGCACTTCACTGGAGAGATCAGGCATTCCTTAAGGAAGGACTGATTCTTCTCTCTTCTGCTCTCTGTAGTGATCTGCTTTCCCAAGATGGCAGCATCTGGGAGGTCTTCTGTAGGAGAAATGCCCTGGCTGTCAATGCAGCTTCTTCAGGACTGCTTTGACTCCCAAGCCCGTTAGGCTGGAATGAGGAGCCTGGCAGTGTCACCTTCTCCCGTCTTCCTGAATTCCTCAGCCAGTGCCTTGGTGACACCAGCATGCGCACAGTCTGAGTGGTAGAAAGAAAGTCAGATGTGATAAGAACAAATGTTATGTTAAAACTATATACACATAGGCAATGAGAACTCATCTTAATGGCACAGGATTATTGGACATAGTTATAGAACAATGTCAGAGAAATGTAGACTTTCATATGCAAAATCAAACCTCAGTCTTTGATGTATGATCACATCCTTTGGTCCCCTTTAACTTCTTGGTTGGATCACCTCTGTTTACCTCTTTAAAACTCTCTGTAAATCATTCTCCAATCAAATAGTGCCTGCTTAATTTCCCTTTTTGGATTATGAATGGCCTAATTTGAGACATATAAGGTGTAGAAATATGGATTTAATTTCCTTTTCATAAAGAAAATCTGGCTTTCATTTGCTTTATTTTCTAATTGCTTTATTATTTAATTGTGCTTTTTGCCTAAGTATTACGAACATATGTTATAAAGTATCAGCCATAAAATTTTTAGAAAATACACAAAATATACCTAATCTTCTGTGGATTATTAGATTCTTATCCCTACAGTTCCTGGATCTTAAATAATATAGCTCACTGATCTGTTTCCAGTGCTTTTATTTTTGGATCTTTGTTTCAAGTCTTCAGCACAGCTTAAGCTCACCGTGTCCTGGATTCAAATTCTGCTGTATTCTTTCCATGGGATTTCCCTTCTTTCCTTTTATTACATGTTTGTTGCTTTCCAGATTTAGAAGCTGTGTAGATGGACTATGTATAGTGACAAAAATGACATTTGGAAACCTCAGTTTCCCAGTGTTTTAATCCTCATTCCAAACTGTACAGTTTGTTTCATGCAAACAGGTAATATAAATGTGTTACAGAGCTCAAAACACAAGCTGGGAGAAGATTTTCAGGCTCTTCCCATAATTTTTTCTACTTTCTTTTTTCTATAAGCAGTAAAAGGATATGTCTGATTAAGAATAACACTTCCATTAACTGGCTTATAAGTTCTCATGGGAGAGTCCAACTGCTTCCTCTTTCTCTACATAGTAGTTTCAAATTTAAGATCAGATTTATTTTTTGAATGAATAAGTGAATCTAAATTTTCTTTTTTATTCTACCCTCTCTACAAGGAAGAAAAATTACCTTGAGACTCATAAGATAGAGAAAAAAATGAAATTTTTGTAAATTGCTTAAAGTTAGAATGCCATGGATGGAATAAACAATTCTGAAAAGATACTCTTTCATGTACTACATATTAATTGGATTATTTTTTTCCTGCTAATTCTTTTTTTAAAAGAGAGAGAGAGACAATTTTTTAATATTTATTTTTTAGTTTTCAATGGACACAACATCTTTATGTTATTTTTTTGTGGTGCTGAGGATCGAACCCAGTGCCCCACGCATGCTAGGTGAGCACACTACTGCTTGAGCCATTGAGCCATTGAGCCACATCCTCAGCCCCTCTGCTAATTCTAAAAAAAAAAAAAAACAAGAAAGCAGCTGAGTTTTGGAGGTGCATAATCTACCAATACCAGGCTTCTGGAAAATAACTATTGATTAGTAGGTTATTGGCACTGGCAGTAATACATAAATTGCCTTAACTTCTTAGAATATTTCAAAAAGTTACTTCCAACCATGAAAAACACAGTCTCCATCCATGCGCCTTGGGTGGAGGTAGGAATGTATTTACAGCCATTTTACAATCCAAATGTGAACTGCAGAAAGTTTTCAAGTTGATGTAAGTTTACATTTTGAGTTTATATTTTTAACTTGTCAAACTTTTATTATAGACTTAGAATAATAAAGATTTCACCTGCTGCACACATGGTTGTTAAAAACAATAATTTTATTGATGTCAAGCCAGCTTCTAATACACTAGGGAGAACAATCTGATTTTATTTAGATTAATGAAATCCATAATTTGCAAACATGCCAAAGGTTTGCTTTATAGTAGTTAATTATAAAATGTGTTAAGTGAATCTCTGCACTATGAAAGACTCCAATGTGCTTCCTAAGCTAAAGCCAAGCAATTTTAAAAAGTCAAGACCAAATATTCAGTGAAGACTTGGGAAATAGCGGAGACACAACAGCAGGGTTGCCTGTGTTTTGCTGCGGTTAGAGGGTGTTCTCTGGTTGTGCTGATCAGCCTGTGACTACTCCCATCGATGATTAGATTAAACAAGGCCATGTTTTGAAAAGCCGTGGCAGCCCTTGACACACCATAGACCAAAGCTAAGTGCACAGCATCAGATGTCCAAACTGGCTGTGAGATGTGAGGTGAGAAGGAAGCTGGGATTTAACTTGTTATTTATTCCCAAACCCATCGCTTGCTTTAATCAATGTGAATGGAACTTTTTTTTTTTTCTATCCAGTTTGGAGCAGTGCCACACTGTCTTTTTTGGCCTCAGATGAAAGGTAGGAATAGGTCTTTGCTATATGTCTAACAGTATTGAGTGATTTAGTGCTTGTTAAGTTTTTAAAACATCAAATCCCAATTCGTGTTTCTCTAGGGGAGGCCGCTTGATTTTCTGCTGCATGTGTGGAAATCAAGTTGAAGTTGGCAGAAAAAGGAAAATTGCACTTACTGTGTAATTTGTTTCTCCTCTAGTAACTAGGAATTTTTCTCTTCCCCTCCCAAATCAAGGGGTTTAGCAATATTAAAATCACCAAAGACTAGCATACCCAAGTGAGAGCACAATGATCAATGAGGACAGTAAAGTTAGCTGGTCTCTTGGTATATACCAAGCACCTGTTCTAAGCAGTTTACATCTTTTATGCTACTTAATCTTTACAAAATGCTCTGGGAAGTAGTTACGTTTCACTCAAGTGAGGAAGAAACTGACACACAGACAATTTTCTAAAG